TCTCTCTCTCTCTCTCTCAAGCTTCGGAATTTAGATCTAGTAGAAGTTGCTGTGCTGGCAGACTGGGACACGCCCCCCCGACTGAGCACACAAACTGGGCGGGGCTTGCATCGCCGGCATCGTTTGCGTACGGCGCATTCATAACCGGGCTGCTGACATTTTGGGCACGGTTTCTGCGCCCACACCAAGGAGTTTAGAATTGTAAACTCCTTGGCCCACACACACTTCTGTTGGTATTCACACTCGCTTCCGTCAGAAGGACAGCGAGAGACGAGCTCACATTTTTGGGCTCCCGTACACTTTCGGGAGCAGACAAGAACACACTCTGCCTTCTCCATGTCAACGTATGGCATATATAAAGATCGCACTTATTGGATTTGATCACCTTGCATTGTGTCCCGGCTGGATACTGCAAGTCGCCACCGGTGAGGGGTCAGAGGTCACTGCATGTCTCCGAAAGTGGACACTTTGGGGCTGGGCTGTATTATTGAATATGCTCACACTTGAAGCCCGCTCGGGGGGTGGGCAGTAGTATTGAATATGCTCACACTTGAAGCCGGCTCGGCATTGCTTGGTGTATGTAGTATGTAGGCAGGCAGGCACTGACGTTTTGGAGGCTCGCAAGGATATGCGTAGTAGCACTTCCTCTTCACCATCTCACACGTCAGCCCTGGACATAGTTTGTGAGAACCTAGGTTACAACATATCGCTAACCTAGAATTTCAACGTTTTGTCTGCTAAGTACCTAGTTTTGAGAAATTTGACGTTAGAAATTTTGAGTTTCGCAACACAACATGGTAACGCGTTTTTGTTTTTGTTTTTCTGTTATTTCTGGGAGCGCAATTCTTTTGAATATCTCGATAACTCCTCGGAATAATCGTTCGATTTTAAATAAGGCTCATAGAGAACATTTTGGTTTCTGACATTATGGTCTTAGTAACTCAAAACGGACAAAAATTGTAAGATAAAACTTTGCCCACCTAATTCTGAGGTAGTGTCATACCAGAAGTGAGCGATATCACCTCAACATAAGCTGCTTAAGGGACAATCAGCCCCAGTGTG